GCAATGAACAGTCACTGAGCATCTGCTATTACCAGGCACTGCTGTGGCCCCACCAGGTCCTTGCTGAGCTGCAGGTGGGCAAGCTGAGCGGGCAAAGACACAAGGTGTCCTGAGCTCTAGACCAGTCATCCACAGCCCGATGCCAAGTGGGCACCCATCTAAACTTCCTGTGCCCTGTTCCGGGTTGACACAGGCCCAATTCGCCAGGCATTGCAACCAACTCAAACAGCAGAGACCGAGGGATAAACAGGATATTCAAGCCCTTATCACGCTGGCCTCGGCATGACGTGGGTGGAAAGACCTCCTTGGGGACCCAAATGCTCGTTCTTTGTTCTTGTGAGGCCAGGGCAAGCCACTTCTCCTCTCTGAACCTCAGTATCCTCAACTGGAAAATGAGGCTCTCAAAGCCAGCCTCCCAGAGCTGCTGGGAGGACTAAGGTGGCCGTGTCTGTAAAGTGCCAAGCGAAGCACCACGCACACAGCAGCGACCAGGATGTGCCTGCACCTACTGGGTGCTGGATTCTGGGCGCTGGGCAGGAGAAGAATGTGACACACTGCTGGCCTGGGGAGGCTGCGAACTGGATCAGCTGCTCTCAGTCTCCGGTGTTGACACAGACCTGAGTTCAGTTCCCAGCTCTGCCCCATCTTGTCTGTGTGACCTTGAGTATGTCATTCTCCCCTTCTGAGCCTCAGTTTCCTTATCTGAAAAATGAGAACAGTAACATCACCTGCAAGGGAATGAAACAAGATGACGCAGGAAAAGCCGCTGGTACACAGCAGGCACGAAATAAATGGCAGCTGTTAGCACCAACAGTCTGCCCTTCTGGGCCTGTGTTTCTGTATTGTAAAGTGCAGTGCATGCGAGCTGTAGAGTTAGGAGTGTGATGTGTAGGCTGAGTTGGGGCTCTGGAGGTTGGGAACGGGGTCCCAGCTCACAGACTCGAGGTAGAACGTTCCTTCGAATCCTCTAGTCCAGAGGTTCCCAGTCCTGGCAAACTATTCCCAGGTAACCTAGACCAGGCCATTCTCAGGCTCCACCCTAGATTCCCTGACCCAAATTATCTAGGGATGGGACTCAAGAATCTGTATTTTAAACAAGCTTCCTAGGTAATTTTTTAAAATAATTTTATTTTTTTTATAAAGGCTAACCTACCAGATGTTCTGCAGGAGAAAGATGTGTCAGTCTACTTCTATAAACATTTACAACCTTGGAAACCCTACAAGGCAGTTTTACCCTGTCCTACAGGGTCACTATGAGTCAGGATCGACTTGACGGCAGTGGAATTGCCTCAAGCAGAAAATTCCAACAAAACTAAAAGATATGCAATGAAAAGAGGAAAGTAAGTGGTGTTCAAGGTCACAGCGTGGCCCTGAGTGAGTCCCTCTTCCTCTCTGGGCCGTAGGCTCCCCAGCAAAGAGGCTGAATGGATGAGCTCTATGCTCCCTTCTGGTCTTGATATCTGCAATGTTTCAAGTGTGGTTGTGTGACTTGTGAGCAGCCATCAGAGAGGAGAGGGCCGATGTGAGTCTACAAATGTACGAGTCAGGACTACTGAGGTTTGAGTGGCAGAAACCCAGCTCACGCTGACTCACACAATAACAAAAAAAGGAGGGAGGGATAGAATTTTATTTGAACTGAAAAGTCTCAGGGGTAATGACTTCAGGAACAGCTGGATCCAGGAACTCTAATGTGTCTTCTCATTTCCTTAGTGTTGGCGTCACTTTCTGGTAGATTTTGACAGATAATTGTATTAATATCTAAAATCTCTAAGGAAGAAATCAAACCCAGGCAGACCCATAGTCTCCTGTGTGGGTAAATAGCTCTTTCATTCCGAACGGGGGGAAGCTAATAAGGTGTCCATAATTTGGTAAAAAGTTTTCATTGAAGGCAGGGAAATGTGTCTGCTTTCTTCATGTGGATCTAGTTTGTGCTGTCTTTTTCTTGTGTGCACGTGTGTGTACACGTGCCTGCGTGCGTCTGAGTGCACTAGTGTGTATAAGTATGTGCATGCTTGTTTGAGAGTTCCACACACACCATCAGGAATAGAACCCAGAGGACCTCAGGGAGAAGGGGGTCATGATTTCTCCCCACTTTGGAAAATCTAACCTATAGTAGACCAGACTTGGAGGTTCCCCAAATGCTTTAGGTGGAGGGGACTTGAAGAGGGATGGCAAAGTCCTGTCTTCATGTGGCCTGGGGCCAGTGAGGCTACAGAGGAGTGAGTGACCCTAAATAATGGCTCCTTAGAAACTAGAACCTTTGAGCTGCATGTGAGAGGATGGGGCCTCTGCCTGCTTTACAGCCTCCCCCTCCAAGGGACCAAGAGCTTCTAGCTCAATGTCACACCAGAACTCAGCTGTGAGAGGCAATCGATGCCACGGGAGAAGGCTGGCTTTGTCTTGGGTGTGACTGTGCTGATAAACAGCCCCCAGTACCAGCCACTGTGGCTCAAAGGGGCCGTGCCAGGGTGAAGTTGGAGTACTGGGGTGGGGGAGTGCAGAGGGAGAAAAGGAAAGAGACAGGAAGGCTGGCTGGAATAGGTGGAGAGGAAACTTGAGGGGAAGAATTGTAAAAATGTGCAATAATGGTTTTTGAACAATAACCAAACCTGTTTCTATCGAGTCGATTCTGACTTATGGAGACCCCATGTGTTACAGAGTAGAACTGCTCCATAAGATTTTCGTGGCTATAAACTTTATGGAAGCAGATCGCCAGGCCCTTCTTCCACGGCACCACTGAGTGTGTTCAAACCACCAACCTTTAGGTTAGTAGCTGAGCACAAACCATGTGTGCCACCCAGACCCTCTTTAACAATAGAGCTGTGGGAATTTGGAATCACACAGCTCACCATCACATCAAACCGCCAGGATCTTAGCAGTTATTTAGTCCAATTTCTGAGCATCTCTGGTCCTGGGGGCCTCACCACCTTCTCAGGCAGTGGCTGGCCCTATGGGATGCCCCAGAGACACCCTGCATGCTAGGGGCAGGTCAGCGTCTTGGAGACCTGCATGGAGGAAAGCTCTGGAGCACAGGGTGGGAATCACTTGCTAAGGGCAGAAAACATAAGTACAATCGTTTCTGATTATGATCGTGCTGTGAAAGAAGGAGGCAAGGAGTTGAGATCAAGGGTAATGGGGAGGTGCTACCTCAGGTGGGCAGTCAAGGAGGGCGTTCCAGGAGGTGACATAGAGGCAGCTGGAGAAGAAGGTTCTGGGCAGAGAGAATGGCCTATGCAGAGGCCCAAGGTAGGCACTAGGTTGGCATCTTTCTGGAACAGAAGGAAAATCAGTAGGGGCAGAGGGGAGAGGGATGGGGATGAGTTTGGAGAGGCAGCAGGGGCAGATGACACAGGTAAAGACTTTGGATTTAACCTGCTGCATTGAGAGTGGCCTGGATGGGGGCAAGTGTGGCAGAGGGAGACCAGGGACAAGGAGGCTGTTGGTATTGTGTCTTCTGACACTGGCTGTGTAGCCTCAGGCAAGGTACTTAACCTCTCTGGGCCTCATTGTTGCCCATACATGTGGGCAACATGGGGGCTGACTTTGTTCACTCTCAGAAGGAATTTTCTACCAACTAGACGGAACAGGCAGTGAGCTCTCCATTATTGCAAACATTTGAACTGTGGCAGCCTCGGTCCCATGAGAGATGTTGTAGAGGCCACTCAGATACCAGAGAGGGTTGGACAGAATGACCTCTCAGGAGGCTGAGGCTGACTCTCACTGGGCCACAGTTCTAGCCCCATCTTTGATCCTGTCTTAATGGGTGACCTCGGGCTGGTTGTTTCTCCTCTCTGAGCCGCAGTCTCCAAATGACAGTGTTAGACCAGATGATCTCTATGAGTCTTCCCACCTGGATTCTCCAGTTTGTCTATTCTCAGTCTCTTTCCCAGCCCCCATCCATAATGGCCACCCCTTGGCAGCTGAAGGCCCCTTGAAGTCCTTGTCTTAGTCTTGGCAGAAAGTCCTCCCCATACCCATCCATTTCGATTCAAGCATCCTGGGTGAACTTTGGGTTTGAAGTCTCCTGGACAGGAGTTATTTTCTTTGGAGTTTCCTTGGATGGTCCCAGAACTAGGCAGCCTCCATCGTATTGCCGCCATATAAGAGCCTCCACCATCAAGCAGAATCCCAGGAGACTGTGCAGGAGAGCAAGGATTTCGTGAGCATCCTCCTCCAAACCTGTGATTGGTGGGCTTACCCTCTGCCAACACCCCTTGCTTTGGGGGAAAGAGGCAAAAGGATAGGTCCCCTTGGATTAGCTAATATTTTGAATATAGCAAATTAAGAGATATATAGATTATAGCAAGAGAATTGTCAAACTGGTGAACAATGCAAGGGCATGATATGGTGTGCATTGATTGGTTCATTCTTTTATTCAACAAATATTTATTGAACACCTACTTAGTGCAGGCCTTCTACTGGGGGCTGGATATTTGACAGTGAAATAAGTCACAGCCTCTCCTCTGAGGAGTTCATAGCCTGGTGGGAGAGGCAGACAAATCATCAGGCGATCTGAACCCAGGACTCTGATCAGAAAATGAAAGCAGCCAAGGTGGTGGGGCAGAGTCCACTGAATGTAGACTCTGGGGAGGGGCCTAGAGTAGGAATCGCAGAGGGCATAATGTGTTGCTTAGGCCTGGAGAATCAGTAGGAATTGAATTAATTTAGGTAATTTGACTTAGGTAATAAAGTCAGGAAGAGGAAAGATGGTTCAGGCAGAGAAAACAGCATGTGCAAAAGACCTTTGTGTAAAGAGCATGGACTTGGAGTCAAGTCTGATTTTTCAGCTTCTAGCTCTTCCACTCACTGGCTCTGTGTCTCTGGGCAAGTTGTTCTAGCTTTCTGACCTTGGCTGCCCATCTGTAGGATAGGACGTAACCACTCCTACCTCAAAGGGATGTTAAATGTAAGAACGGTTGCTGCTCATTGAATATCCTTTTTCCCTCTGGGTAATTCTCTCTCCTCTTCCTCCTATGAATGTCCAGGTGTCAGAATAAAAGATGTTTCAGCTTTGGAAACTTGTTCTCTTCTGTGGTCTGCTCACTGGGACCTCAGCGTCCCTTCTTAAGAAAGTCGGCAATGACTTGAATGTTTTGGAGACTTCCCTTCTTGAGAATCTTGGCAGTGACTGAAATGTTTTGGACACGTCCCTTCTTGAGAATGTTGGCAGTGACGTGAATGTTTTGGACAATTTGAAACCTTTTCTTGACAAAGGGCTTGAGACTGTTGACAACACACTTAAGACTGCTGATAATCCAGTTCAAGGTGAGTCAACAAGAGTGATAATCACTGGCACCCAGAAGCTTGCCTCCTAAACACTATGCCTGCATTACCAAAGGCTGCCACCAGGAGCTGCCCTTTATAGGTGGTTTACTGAGACAGGTGGCTATTTAGTTCCTGGCTCATTCACTTATCATTTTTCTAAAAACAAGCAATGCTGCAATGAATATCTTTTTCCATATTGTATCCTGGTAAATTTTTGCCAATGTATGCATAGGATAAAGTCCTGAAAGTTCAAAAGTTATACACATTTTAAATCACGGTAGATGCTGACAAACTATTCCCTATGTTACACTCCTTCCAACAGTCTAGGAGAGTGCCTTTTCCCCGCAGCCGTGCCAGCATCGGGTATGGAAAACTTTAAATGTCTTGCCAGTCTAACAGATAAATGATTATAATTCATTTGATCTTGCATTTCTCTAATTATGAATCATTTTTTCATGTTTCCTAGCTATTTGCATATTTTAATTTAAATATTCTGATCATATTCTTAGCATAATCTTCTGTTGGATTGTTTAATTTTCTGTTGTTGAGTTTTGTGAATTAATTGAAAATTAATCCTACCTAGCCAGCTTTGTATTTAATTATACCTGTTTTTATGCTGACTCTGAGAATCTGGCTTTCTTTTTTATTTCCTGGAAACATTAACAGCACATTGACAAACATTCTTTATAGGAGGACGTAACTTCTGCAAATGGCTGCCTTTCTAACCTCGTCAGGCTTAGGCAACCTTCAAAGATGCAGAAAGGACTCACTTTCTAATTTCACAGCTGGGGAAAGTGAGGCCCAGAAACAGGAGTGTCTGGATCAAGGCTGCTTAGTGAGTTATATGACCAGATATGGTTATAGCACTAGTTTTATTTAAATTGGCATTCCTTGTTTGCGTCATTATAGCTAGGCAGATATTGTCCATCATAAAGCCAAGTTACAGTACTATGATTATACTTTTCTTGTAGTCTTTTGTTTTCCCTTAAGTTAGTAATTGACTTATCATTTCTCACTTAAATTATTTTCTACACACATATTCTTAATTCTTTTCATACGCACTAACCTACATTTGTAATGTCATTTATTATCACATCTCCCTTTTCTCTGGAAACCTCCCATGAGGAACACTCTATCCTCCTATTCCTGTATAGATTATTGTTCTCCAGGCGTACTGCTAAGCTATTATCCTGAGACTCCCCTTTGCCACTTTTATGGGTTGGAACCATTTTTTTTTTTTTCCTTGATTCTAAACTGTCCTACTTCTTAGTTTATTCTCTCATTTTGTTTGATCTAGTTTTTTAAACATGTGTAAACCCCACAGTCACTCCTAGAAGTTGATGGACAATCAATATCAGTTGCCTGATCAACTGTGGATAAATTATCAGTATGTCATTTACAGAGGCAACATGGAAGGATCAAGAGCTCCCTAGCTTTGTGACTTTTGATATATCTCTTAACCTTTTAATCCTTTATTTCCTCATCTGTAAAATGTGGATAATAATAATACCTACCTCACTGGGTTATAATAAAGACTGAATAAAATAACATAGGCAAATAGTCTTATCTAGTGCCTGGCACATAGTAGCAACTTCATAAGGGATGGATGCCGCTAAACAGCCATTGTTTTTGCCAGATGTCCTTCAGAAACTTAAGCTCAACACTGATGGGCTCCAGGATTCCAGGGCTTGGCAAGTGATCCAGAAGAAATACCAGGAAGCTGAAAAATAGCTGGACAATGGCCTTTCTGGTTTGGTTTCAAATGGAAAGTCTTTGGGGTAAGTTGGTACTTCATGGTGGAGATCTTTGCTCCAAGAAAAGGGAATCTGTATCCTTGGGGAGGTAGGTTCGGGATCAAAGTCAGAAAGGTAGACAAACCTAGATCCTCCCACACAGAGCCCAGGAAGTCTGAGGCCAGGTCCATGAGAGCTTGAGTGAATTAAAGGCAGGGTTGCAGGGCTAACTGGGGCATCTTGTGGGTTTGGGCTTCCACATTCTGTAATTTAAGGGTCAGAGTGAAGGTTCCCCTCACCCGCACCTCCACCTGTTTGCTGGTTTCTGAGACCCCTTTTCCAAGGAATGAAACTTTTCCTTCTCCAAAGACAGCTTGGAATAAAAGCATAAATTCCCTTGGCGGGGGTGGGGGGACAAGAAGTTCACACTAAGTAGCCCCATATAGTGGCTCCATCCGTGGAGTTTTTGGAGTCAGGCAGTTCTGAGTCACATCCTGGCTCTGGGATCCAGAGCTTCTTGGGATCTTGGGGAAAGTCTCGTCTGTCTGAGCCTCAGTATGCCGTGCCATAAAATGGAGAGAATCAGTCCTGTGAGCAGAGCTATCATGAAGACCAATGGAAGCAAGGCTGGTAAAGCTCAAAGGCTCAGCACGATGCCTGCATAGAGAAGTGCTCAGCATATGACTGTCATGAGGAATGACAAGTGTGAACTGTGGGTTTTGTGCAGGTTGAAAATCATTAAGTCCCGCATCCTGGATCTCAAAGCTGAACTGACTCCTGATGGCATAGGTCTTAACCTGAGGTTCCCCGTCACCGCTACTGTCAACTTTGCCTTGTGAGTATGCTTTAGAATCCAGGATCTCAGGGAGGCAGTGCATGCAGCATGGTCACTGGATCCCCAACCTAGGAACCAGGCATCTTTCCACTCTGTGATGTGGCCTTGGGCCTCAGTTTCCCAATCGGTACAAAAGAGACCTTTCCAAACTTAAAATCCCCACCTCTAGAATGTTCTAATGAGCTTTGGCCATAAGCAGGTCTTTTTAAAAAGAATGCTCCACTGACTATAATACTTTTAAAATCATAGCATTTATCTAATTATAAAATTTGCAAAACTGTGAAGAAAATAATCATTCATAATCCCACTGTCCAGACATAAAAATTGATTACTCTTGGGCAAAAACTCCTCCAGTGTTATTTCTCTGAAAGTTCCCTTTAAACAACACTGAGTATGGATAAATGAATGTGGTAGTGAGTGGTGTATAATAAAGGGCTTGTAAGCAAAACCTAATTTTAAAGGATTTTAAATTACTTTAAAAATAGTTAGGGAGACAGGACAAATGAGCACGCTTAGAAGAATTTTTAAAAATTAAATTCACCAATGATTCTATCAGTCATTAGCTGTGAGATCTTGGGATAGTTATTTAATCTGTCTGTACCGAGGTCTCCGCATTCATAAAATAGAGATATAATAGTACTTCCTCATAACATTGCTGTGATAATTAAATGGATTAATCCTTATAAAATATATTTTAAAGATGCCTGGCACATAACACAGGAGCCCTGCTGGTGCTCTGGTTAAACGCTCAGATGCTAACTGTAAGATAGGTATCAATGTTAACAAGTATTATTATTTTAATTAGTAGTGTCATATTGTATAACAATTTCACATGAACTAAAACCATGTGGCCAGGAGAATCTCCTAGTATAAAAATGCTAAATCATGTAATATGGATGATGTTGACATTACCTGGACAATGTTGACATTACCCATTGACATCATGGATGATGTCCACACAGGTAGCGGAACCCAAGTGAACAACGTGAAGGGTCTTCTCAACCTCTGTTCCTGCAGGCCTCTCATTGGAAATATTGTCAGCCTGAAAGCCTCCTTGGATATCTTGACTGGAGTTAGAATTGGCACAGATATCCAGACTGTTCTCCCTGTGGTGACCCTGGGAGAGTGCGCCAGTGATGCAGCCAGCATCCAACTCAGCTTGCTGAACAGGTAAGGCCCATTGCCCAAAGACCCCCCAAAACCAACTCAGCCGACCTGGGTTCTCCAAGGAGTTGAGGACCCCTAATTTCAGCCTATTTCTGTATCTGGGAAGTGGTACAGTGTGGTGAAAAAGAATTCAGGCTCTGGAGTTGGTCGTAGGTTCAAACCCCAGTTATGCCATTAACTTGTAACTTTGTAACTAACTGAACCTCTCTGAGCCTCCTTTTTCACATCTGTAAACTGGGGATGATAACAATACTCTTAGGCTACTGAGATGATCAAAAGAGAAAATACTAGTCAATATTTAGAATAGAGCTTGGTACATACTAAACTCTCAGTAATAATAATATCTGTGCTGACTTCTGTTCACTTATTCTCTTAGTTACTGAGAAAGGAGTGTTGACATCTCCAACTATAATTGTGAATTGGCCTATCTCACCTTTCAGCTCTGTCGTTTTTTGCTTCGTGCATTTTGAAGCTCTGTTGTTGGGTGCATACACATTTAGGATTGTTATGTCTTCTTGGAAAAGTAACCCCTTTACCATTGTGTAATGTCCCTCAATAACAATAATTATTATTATTCATTGTCTTCTCTCCAGTTGGGGGAAGGGAAGGAAAAACACCTACCATGGGCTCTAATTTCAGATTGTCCTCAAATCGTCCTCCACCTACTGGAAAATTTCCAAAATGAGATCTTGAAAACTTAATCCTTCCATTTAAACCATTGATCCCTGTTAATGCACAAAATCTCCATCTTAAGCTGTGTGCTTGTAAGAGCAGGTTTGTCCCAGGGAAGAGGGTGGGAGAAAGGGCGACCCTGGTCAGTGGCTGGGAGGCAAGGGACTGCACCTAGGAGAAATGGCCTGGAAGTTGGGGGCTGGGGCTGCTGATGCTGAACCTGGTTGGCCTTGGCCAGATACAAGGTGCGTCCTTAACCCTAAGCCCTGATGGTCATAAGTGGAAGTCATTCCACCTTTCTCCCACTATAAGATCTGACCCCTAGAGCTCAAACCCATTGCTGTCGAGTCAATTTCAACTCGTAGCAACCCTGTAGGACAGAGTAGAACTGCCCCATAGGGTTTCCAAGGCTGTAAATCTTTACGGAAGCAGACTGCCACATCTTTCTCTCACAGAGCAGCTGGTAGGGTCACACTGCCAACCTTTTGGGTGGCAGCCAAACACTTTAACTACTATGCCACCAGGGTTCCTCTGACCCCCTACAAATTCCCCCAAAACAAAGAAAGGCTCCGTGGTCCATGTTAGTTGGAAAGGCTGGGATGCAAATTCAGAGGCCTGAATCCTGCCGGACACTACCTTGCTAAGCAGCCCCATGGAATTCATTCCTCTGCTCTGGGGCTCAATGTCCACAGCTGCTCCTCCAAGTCCTCTCTTTTCTTTAGGATTGAATCACAAGCCCTTGCCATGGCTTTTAAGGTTCTGCTTGGCCTGGCTTCACCTTCATATCAGTACACTCTCCCCCTCACTCACTGTGCCCCAGACACACTGGCCTTTGCTCTGTGCCTCAGACAAGCTCTTTCCCACCCTAGGGCCTTTGCACTGGCTGTCTGGCTGTCTAGAACACCTTTTCCCACACTTCACCTCAATATACCATCTCATCCTTCAGGGTCTAAAATAAAGTTTGTCCTATTCTGTCTCAGAACAACCTATTTTTTCTCTTCAGAGTACTGGTCACAAGTTGTTATTATATATTTAATTGTATGATTACTTCATTTTTTCAGCCATTAATGTATTCAGCACCTACTAGTGCCAGGAACCGTTCTGCTGATAAAAGACAAGGTGATTGTGTTCATGGAACTTATTATTCAGAGGGAAAAGCAGACCAACGAACAAGCCTTCAATCAATCAATAAAGCACCCTCAAGGAAAACATCAGATTGTGAAGGATGCCAGGCAAAGCATTAACCTTAACAGGGCACTCTGAGAGCAAAGCCCTCCATTAGACAAGCAGTCAGGGAGGGATGCCCTGAGGAGGTGACACTTAGGCTGAGAGTTGATGGTGGGAAGACGCCAGCCTTGGGAAGACTTTCTTATTGTTTAGGCACCAGTTTAGGAGCTGTTTGTACTTTTCTCATTCTGGTATCCCCAGGGCCAAGCTTAGTGCTTGTACATAGTTGGTGCTCTGCAAACATGTATTGAATGAATGAATGAATGAGGTCTCAAGGTTGTGATGAGACTCTCAGGAGGCATTGGGTGAATGGCTTAGGATGTGAGGATCTAAGTGACAATCCACCTGGTTGGAGGCTGTCTGTGGTTAGAAAGTTGTCCCTGGTGTTTATCTGACTTCTAGGTGCTCCCCCCTCCTCCTCACCAGTCGCTTAGCTCCCCCTACCCTGCCCACTGATGAGACTTTATCAGTTCCCTCTCTTTTCCAGCTACAACGCACTCATCAACAAGGTCGCGGACACCTTGAGCAGGATCCTAAGCAAAACAGTGTCGTTCATGATACAGAAGGAGGTGAGTCTCCTACTCCTAGGGATCCAGAGCCAGGCCAGGTGGGGGGCAGCTGTGGGTGCCTCTTATTCTGAGGTACTAACTTCTGTTTGGGTGGTCAGCTGGAGCCTCCCCCCTATTACTTAGAGCAGGGAGGGCAGGGACCTGACATTAGCTGAAACTGCTTGGTCCCAAACTCAAGCCACTTGCCATATCCATGCACCACCATTATGCTCTTTAATATTTTCCTTCAATTAACACAATTTTACTTAAATTTAAATAAATTTATTTTTAAAGGAAACTTTATATCCTTACCATAAATAGAAAAGTAATATCACTTCTCACATAATTAATAAAAAGACTGAACACAGACTTATTAAAATAGTCCCCACCACCACCCCATCTGTGCATCATCCAAAACCACATGTATCATCTCCAGGATTCCTGAGCCCAGAGTCCCAGAGATTCTTTGAAGCTTGGGGAACGGGGTCCAGGAATCTGGGTTTATAAAAAAAAATCCTCCAGGTGGCCCTGTTACTCACTGAGCAGAAGTCTTGCTACTCAAAGTGAGGTCCTCAGACAAGCAGCCTTGGCCTCACTTGGGCACTTGTTAAAAATGCAGAAACACTGCTCGATGGTCTCCATGGCCCCATTCAACTCTTTACAATTCCGGGGTCCCAAAGTTTAAGAGAGGCATTGGTTGTTCAGTGGTAGAGTGTTTGCCTCCCTTGTCGGTCTCCTATTTAGTCTACCTGAGGCTGACTCGATGGTAGCTAACATCAACAACAAAGTTCAAGATTTCTAAGAGTATAAGGTTCTGTGATGTTGTCTTAGGCTGGGTTCTCTAGAGAAGCAAAATCAATAAAGCATATAAAGAGAGAGAGATTTATATTAAGGAAATGGCTCATGCAGCTATCGAGGCTGGAACGTGGGTTAGGCTGGAGGCTTCTCCTGATTCTCATAGCTGCAGGGCCTGGCAAACCCAAGATGGGCAAGTCAGACAGCAGGGCTCTGGCTCACAGGCTTTGAAGACCAATAAATGCAAAGATCAGCAGGCAAGATGGCAGGTAAGCTTCTAGCTCAAGTCCCAAGAACTGGAGGCAGTCAGAAGAACAGGAGCCAGCTGCAGGATCCAGTGCAAGCAAAAGCCCATGAGCCTTGTCAGAAAGTCCACTTATATTGGCTGCAGGCCACACCCCCAAGGAAACTCCCTTTCAGTTGATTGGCTACTCACAGACGATCCCATCATGGAGGTGATCACATTATATCAGATCTTATCATGGAAGTGATCACATCATTATACGACTGCCAAACTACGTTATAACTGCCAAACCCCTGAGAATCACGGCCCAGCCAAGTTGACATACAACCTTAACAATTACAGATGTTAACAGTCTAGATCCTTAAGGTTCTAGAATTCTAATGTGAAGGATTTTAGGCTTTTAGCATCCTAGGGTTCTCAGATTTTAGGTTTCTAGGTTTTTGCTGGTCTAGACCCTAAGCTTCAATGGTTCTAAGATCCCAAGGAATGTGTGATTTCTCTGTGAGTGGCAGGCAGCTTGTTCCCATCTGAGGATAATCTGCCCTTCTTCCTTCTCCCATCCCTTGTGTTATTTCTCCGTTCTCTCTCATCATCAGCTGTGCCCACTGATCCACTTCTTCCTCAACAACCTGGAAGTGAATGTCATTCAAAACATCATCCGTAAGTCACAGCCTGGGGCTGGGAATGTGGGAGCTTCCTCTTTGCCAGCCTTCCCAGGGCCGGCATGCAGGTCTGTGCCCACACACAGGGAGGCCTGTCAGAGCCTGTAGGAAAGCAGCCTCTGGGACCCCAGGGCAGTAGAATGACCCACCTGTCCTGAGCAAGTGGCAGAGTGTGGCTGGAGGGGTCCTGGAATTGAAGGAGTTCTGTGGGCCTTGGAGAGCTCTCTGCTGACATCCCTTGTTAAACCAACAGAACCGTCTAGGCAGAATGATGTGAAAAAGAAGTTCTAGGTTCAAATCCTGGCTCTACTGCTTAGTAATTGTAGGGCCTTGGGCAAGTGGTTCCACCTCTCTGAGCCTTGGTTTTCTCCTGGTCGAAATGAGACTGCAAACATTGTGAGGTTAATGTGTCAGTTAAAAGAAAACATACAAAGAGCCTAGTATCTAGTAAAACCTGTTGTCATCAAGTCAATTCCGACTCATAGCTACCTTAAAGGACAGAGTAGAACAGTCCCATATGGTTTCCAAGGAGCACCTGGTGATTCGAATTGCCTACCTTTTGGTTAGCAGCCATAACTCTTAACCACTAAGCCACCAGGGTTTCCTTCAATATCTAGTAGACATTGCTAATAAACACCTTCCAATTTTTTCCCCTTCCAATAAGGAGCTGTGACTTTTCTTCCAGCCACTTGGGAGCATGGCTGGAGTTGCTGGGGCTGCTGGGGCAATATGAATGGGATAAGTGAAGGTGTCAGGGCCCTGGAGATAGCTCTTTTATGAAAATAGCCATAGTCCAGTCCTTGGGCAATCACTCTGTGCTCTGCATACACCATTTCATTGGATCCTAGCAACAATCCTGTGGGGTGGGTACTGACATGGCACCACTTTACAGATGAGCAAAATGAGGTTTAGAGAAGGGAAATGACATGCTTAGGGTTCCATAGCTCTCAGACTGACTTGCTGGAAGGTGGTAGCCATTGGGGTTCTATCACTACTCAATTTTACGGTGGTAGAGAATGAGACCTGCTATTGATTTTGTTCCTTCAGATCTTCAGGATACAGTCCAGCTGCAAATCTGAAGAGGATAAATGAGGAAGACGGCTGCTCCTAGCCTAAGCCCTGCCCCTGCTCCTAGCCTGAGCCCTGCCCCTGCTCCTAGCCTGAGCCCTGCCCCTGCTCCTAGCCTGAGCCCTGCCCCTGCTCCTAGCCT